TGTACTGTGTTGTTATTAAATGTTTGTAAAATAGTAATGAATAAGGTGAGTATAGTAGTACTTCAGTAGATATTTTTAAGTAACTTCTCTTATGCAAAGTCTCATGTCTCATGACCATTTTCAAGCTTGAGTACATTTACAAATAAGCCTAAGCAATCTTAAAACCTGTGGTTTTTTAAAGATTTATTTTAGATGATGCACTCCTAAAGGTTCAGTTTCACATTTTGGTAATGGGAATATTGAAGGTGTCTAGAAATGGCTTAATTCCTTTTGAGATAGTGAATGAGCATGAGGCATCATATGCTATGGAAGGGTATGTGCTGCATTTATAGTATATTTTCTACATCCCAAATTATTAAAAACCAATTGATGAAATTTGCTGCAGAAAGCAATATCTTTATGAAAAGCAACTAGCCATTCTTATCTTCTGTTAAATATATTGAGTAATTCTTTGTGCTGTATTGTTTTATTAGTGACATTGTTTATTTCAGGATTTTATATTTAATAATTTGGGAATAGACATTTTCATTGTAGCTATTTTAATACTGTACAGTAATTAAAAGTGTGTTTAATAATTTGAAACTAATTAAATTGTAAAGATTAATGTTAAATGGATTTAAATTTAGAGAATCATCTTAAAACATTTTATATTAAGACTTAGCTTTGAAATAATTCATGTAACTTCCATCATTATTTTATTTAATTGTTATCTTTTGAAAGACCTATTAAATATCTTGAGTAGCTTTAAGGCTACCTAAATGAAGCTGATTATAACCTTGCTTAATCTGGTTGTTATACTTCTGACCTCAGTGTAGTAACACATCACATCCCTTGTTTTCTAGTTTTAGTCATTGTTTTCATATCCACTGTATTTAACATGCTGCTTTCATTTCTTCATTATTTACCTGATAGTATATGCAAAATATAGCTTACCAGTATAAGGTGAGAGAATGCATCCCTACACTCACATACAGTCATTCCTTCCTTAATGACAGAGATTCTTTCCATAAAACCTGCTATTAAGTAAAGATTAAAAATGCACAGTACTGTGATGGGCCCAAGTTGGACCAAAACGTTGTCATAAGTTTCATTCTCCTGTATGTGGATTATCTGTGTACTGTCATCAAGCCTCCCCCATTTTTTCCCTAGGCTCTAAATACTGTATATAATCAGCAATGCTTTCTCAGATTTGTTTGCCAGTATTTTATGCATTTCTAGTTAACACCAAACTTTTATAGAAGCCCCATATATACACCACAAGTATATACATACTGTATAAAGAATAAATATCATTGCATAATAAAAAGTGTACTGGAAACAAAAAACTTGAACTTGGCACTACAGTAATATTTTTAAAAAATATGCCTTAGTCAATTTTTGGTTCTATGCTTGCATTGCAAAATAAAAAAAACTAATGGATTTACCAGTTGCCATAATCTTCACTTTTAAATATATCTTAAGAAATTTAAATACTGACAGAATTAGAGTAATAGTATTAAGCAAGGGGCAGTTTGCCATTATACAGCTTTATTCCATAATATATCAGTTGTCATTATACAAAACTGTATGAAGCAGAATGTTGTTAAATGGAGGATGACTGTTGTTCTCTTTGCATGATGTCAGTAGTCTGTAATCAGATCCTCAACCAAACCAAAGCACTGTAATAATCCTCACTCTGTCATACGGCTTGCATTTAACATTACTCTTAACACATCTCTACTTCAACTGTTTTATCACTTTAACTTTACTTTTAGCACGTATCACTATTTTAACTGCTTCTCTTTTACTTTACACTTGTTACTACTTCCACTGCTTCTCTTCAGCATTGGTTCCACTATTTTTTTCACATACTGTAGTTTTCCCTCATCTAACACTTTAACAGTGTGATATAATGTATAGCATTATTATGAGATTAAAACACAATTGAATTTCTTTAAATTTAATATATACTGACATGTAACATATAATATGTGATTCCCTCAGCCATATACAGTGAACCCCCGACTTATGATATTAATCCATTCCAGAGACCACATCATAAGATGAAATTATTGCAAATTGAATTAATTTCCCCATAAGAAATAATGGAAATCAAATTAATGTTCAAGACACCCAAAAGTATGAAAAAATTTTTTTTTACCACATGAAATATACATTTTTCTACACAAAAAGAAGGATACATGCACCATATATATTGTGTATTTACTAGTGTACTAAATGAAGAATAAATGACACTTATCTTTATTGAAGATGTGGTGATGAGTGATGAGACACTTTATGTCCTGGGAGTGCATTTTCCTCCTTAGTAATGTAGGTCCTGTTTGGCATTTTCTTCCAAAACAGGCATTATCACACTGTGTATGCCACTACGATTCTTAAATCTCTCAAATCAACCTTTGCTGGCCTTAAATTCACCAATATGAGCACTAGTTCCAGGCATTTTTTCCTATTCACCTGGGTGTTAGTCGACTGGTGTGGGTCACATCCTGGGGGACAAGATTAAGGACCCAGTGGAAATAAGTTAGACAGTCCTCGATGACACACTGACTTTCTTGGGTTATCCTGGGTGGCTAACCCCCTGGGGTTAATTGTTTCTCGGTATTCTCGATAAGCCACACCAACAACAGTCTCTCCACATCTTCGAGTAGTACAGCTGACCGTGGTGCAGCAGCAGCTGACTGTGGTATGATAGTATTTCTCACCCTTTTTACCACAGGGTTGGCACTAGAAGCTTTCTTTGGGCCCATGGTGGCTTATTTAGCAGTTACAGGCACTAAAAACACTGGAATAATACAAAATTTATCGAATGTTTGCTTGCAACCGTCCGCCCTGGATTGTAAACAATGTCACTACTAGCTCAGCTGAGGCACTCAGGCCAGATGGACCAGACAGCCGCATTCAGAACGAATGATGTAGGTCGAGTTTTTCAACATAGGTCGGGGTCAAATTTTTATGCTGACAAGCATCGTAAGTCGATTTTATCGTAGGTTGAGGCCATCATAACTCGGGGGTCCACTGTACTGAAATTTGACATGATATAACCCACTCAGAAGATGAAATGTGGGTAAAATCCTTACGCAGTAGTCATTATGACAAGTCTTTACATAGTCTTTACATATTCTTCAATCTCATACGAATGAGTCTATATCATTATACAAATTTTATTATTAAGTTGAATTTTATAGGAATTTAAAAATTGTTAAATGTTATACATATATAGTATACTGTATCATTTGTCTTATAACTACATTTTGTTTTCTCAAATTCCCCTCTACTATATATGCATTTTTCAAACTGAGTCATCATTATATTATGTATTTATTCATCTTGAATGATAGCATTAGCATCACTTATTCCTTTGCATTATATCATTTATCATTATCACTTTAATTTCATATATTTTATATGCTTGAATTTGGTTTACAAATGTGTATCATAAAATTTTTTTCCTAAACACTACATTTGCACTGTTATATGTAAATTTATTCTCTTCTCCAGATCATCCAAAGCACTAAATTCTATCAAGAATGTCATATTTAACTTCCGTATACTTAACATTTGATTTGAACTTATAATTTGCAAATATTTAGAAATTCTTTGATTGTAATTACAATAGTACACAGTTCCAGAATAGTGTATATATATTTTTTCTACATGAAATCAAAATGCATGATATTTCCTTTTACCTATTCTAATACTGCATGTTCTCTTAAAATACAGAATTAAGAAATTACAGTGGAACCTCTATTATCTGAACATGTCTTTGGCCATATGTGAATAGTTGATTTTTGTCTTCCTACTTGAGATCTGTTCAGCATTAAACAACCAAGAGTATTATTGTACTTTGAAATGACGAATAATGAATTCTACATAAATAGTCTTTTATAGTATTAAAAATGGGGATGTTGTTCAGAGGGTCATTTGAATTTTGAAGCCCACAAACTTTGGGCTAGACAACTATTGAATTGAGTGTTGGTGAATGTGTCTCCTTTGGGTCACCTTGCATTGGTAAGAAATGGTTAGTGTGGTAAAAGAAAAATTGTGTCTTATGTATTGGTAAAGATGGAGGATGTCTGATTTGAGATGTGACTCATTACTGTATATGGTAGGAGGAATGTATGGCATTGGGTAAGAGAGGAAGTAGATGGAAAGAGAGGAGACTTAACATGCTATTACTGACAATGTACACTCCAGGACCCCATGACAAGAGTGTGGGGAAATGAGGAGGAAAGAGGAAATGAAATACTCCATTAATGACACTGCATAATATGGGAACCTATTACAGGAGGAGGGTGAGATGAGCCAGGGGAGAGGAGGAGGGAGAAGAAAGAAAACTAAATAGTACTCCATTAGTGACACTGCACTCTGAGACATCAAGCACATGAGTAGTCATACTCCATCCAAAATAATGTTAGTTATGCTTATCATTTAGAATTGTTCTTACGTGGATGAGAAAAAGGTATGGAAAAGAGGAGGGAGGATCAGAAAGATGAAAGAGTAGCATGAGAAATGCTCATTTATCAAATGGTCTCCAATTAAAAGTGTCCATATACTTGAGGTTTGTCATTAGTTAAGTATTAGATAAAAGAGGTTCCACTATTTCAATTTTCTCTTAGTATTTTGCACGTACTGTATGTGTGTGCTAGTTGTAAAACATTTTCATAAATTCATCCACAAACACTAATTCAATTTCATTTAAATATACTAATTTGTAAACACCTGAGCCACATACACATTCACTGGAATCTCAGAAATCTTTACGATGGACTAAATATTGAAATTTGGACACTCGTGCTTATTTGCCTTCTTAAAACTTCCTACACATTCATCTATTTGTATCTTCACCACAAATGTTTAATGTACACCATTTTCCTTTTATAAATTCTTATTCAGAACACAACATTGTTTTGACCATTCCTCACCATCCTTCCTCTTTAAAACACTCCCATCATACCTTAAGCAGAATGATAAAGCATCACCTGACAGTATCTCTTGGGCAGCACGTTCCATATCTGCCGTCGTCCTACCTATATGACTCAGTGCAGTTGTATGCACGTGCAGTGTCGGAGCTCTACAATGCCCAAAATCCCAAGAACTTTTCTGTTGAGGACATTGCCAGGGATGGTGCCAAGATTAAGAATCATCTCAAAAACATGACATATCTAAGTAAGTATGAATATCCTTTGTACTGTAATTATGTATTTTTTTTTATCAGACTACTTTAAATGCTTAATTTCAGAGTAGCTTCAAACCTCTTGGATATTCCATGTGTATCACTTAATAGGAGTAAAATCTCTGAAAGAAGATTTGAAGAGCTCTCTTTCTACCACCAGCTTCAAAACTGTTATTAAAGAACACCTCCTGAATTTGATGTAAGCTCTATATGAATGACTTTATATGTCCAGTATATCCAGTGCAACCTGCTTATGTTAACTCTTATCAGCATTCATATTCATGCATTTAATGTGTGGTCATTATTTAGTCCTAATATTAATAACATTACATTGTATTACTGCCTTATCATATTTCCAGTATTATTTTATTTACAGTATATGCAAAATTATCACTTGAAATTTAAATTACATTTATTACTACAGTGGACCCCCGACCAACAAAGGCATCGTCTAATGAAAAAATCACCTAATGAAGCATTTTAGCGTAAAAATTTTGGCCCAACCAATGATGAAAAACTTGACTAACAACATTCGTCCCAAACGTGTCGGCCTGTCCGTCCAGGCTGAGCGCACCTCAGCTGCCCTGGCTTGAGCTAGTGTGCCATTGTTTACAAGCCAGAGCAGACAGTTTCACGCATACATGCGATATATTTTGTATTACAGTGGTCCCTCGCTTTTCGTAGTTCTCGGCAATCGTAAATTTCGCCAATCATAGGGGTATTTTCGTATAAACATGGACTCGCTTTTCATAGGTTGACTCGTGAATAGTAGTTCGTCCGGGACACGTATGCACGGTGTGAGCTGGGGCGGTCTCCCTACCCAGCCAGTCTGGCATTGTTTACCAGTGAGTGAAGGTCCCCTCAAGTGCTCCTACGAAATATTTCATAATATTCCACTCATTTTAGTGCTTGCAATTACTAAATAAGCTACCATGGCTCCAAAGAAAGCTCCTAGTGCCAAGCCTGTGGTAAAGAAGGTGAGAAATATGTACAGTGACAAAGTCTTGGGCCATTTTCGGGAAGTGTTAAAGAGACGCCAGAAACAGAGCTCTCTCCACAGTTACTTTGCGAGACAGGACTAGAGTGACTCTCAAGGTGGTCCTAGTGGCATTAAGAAACAGAGAAGAGAAGCAACCCCAGAGAAGCAATTGGTACCTGAGGTGCTGCTGGAAGGGGATTCCCTTTCCAAACTGTAAACATTCCAATCTCTCTCCTCTTCCAGTCTCCCATACACTAAGAAGAACCTCCAATAAAGATAAGTGTTATGCTGTTAATGTTTCATCATTTCCCATTGTATTGTTTATGTACTATATGTATATTTCATGTAAAAAATTTTTTTGTTTTAATACTTCTGGGTGTCAGGAACGGATTAATTGTATTTACATTATTTCTTATGGGGAAAATTGATTCGCAAATCGTAAATTTCGTTTATAGTAACGGCTCCAGGAACTTATTAATTACGAAAAACGAGGGACCACTGTATTCCATTGTTTTTAGTGCTTGTAACTGCTAAATAAGCCACCATGGGTCCAAAGAAAGCTTCTAGTGCCAACCCTGTGGTAAAAAGGGTGAGAAATACTGTCAAAATACTATCATACCATGGTCAGCTGTTGCTGCACCACCATCAGCTGCTACTGTACCACGGTCAGCTGCTGCTGTTGCTGCACCACCGTCAGCTGCTGCTGTACTATGGTCAACTGCTGTTGTTGCTGCACCACCATCAGCTGCTGCTGTACCATGGTCAGCTGCTGCTGCTGCTGCTGCACCACTGTCAGCAGAGCTACTCGAAGTTGTGGAGAGAGTGTTGTTGGTTTGGCTTTATGAGAAACAGTTACCAAGAGACAATTAACCCCAGAGGGTTAGCCACCCAGAATAACTCAAGAAAGTCAATGCGTCATCGAGGACTGTCTAACTTATTTCCATTGGGATCCTTAATCATGTCCCCCAGGATGCGACCCACACCAGTTGACTAACACCCAGGTGAACAGGAAAAAATGCCTGGAACTAGTTCTCATATTGGTGAATTTAAGACCAACAAAGGATGGTTTGAGAGATTTAAGAATTGTAATGGCATACACAGTGTGATAAGGCATGGTGAAGCTGAAAAATTCCAACCCCAACAAGTGTTCAATTGTGATGAAACAGGCCTGTTCTGGAAGAAAATGCCAAACAGGACCTACATTACTCAGGAGGAAAAGGCACTCCCAAGACACAAGCCTATGAAAGACAGGCTAACTCTCATCTTTTGTTGTAATGCTAGTTGGGACTGCAAAGTGAAGCCTTTACTCATGTATCACTCTGAAAATCCCAGAGTGTTCAAGAAAAACAGTGTCTCATCACTCATCAATATTGTTAAATAAAGGTAAGTGTCATTTATTCTTCATTTAGTATTTATTGTGTGTGTATCCTTGTTTTTCTGTGTAGGAAAATGTATATTTCATATGAATTTTTTTTTTTTCAGACTTTTGGCTGTCTGGAACGGATTAATTGGATTTCCATTATTTCTTATGGGGAAAATTAAATCGGCTAACGATAAATTCGCCTAAAGATAAGCTCTCTGGAACAGATTAATATCATTGGTTGAGGGTCCACTGTATTAAGTTCTACAGCAGTTTTAGTCTGCCCAAAATGCTTTGCATAACCATGTGCTGCAAAAAAAAAAAAATAATAATTTTTTTTTTTAAATTATGTTGTGTTTTATATTAAGGTATTAATAAGTTCATATTTTTTTCATTAATTTTACTATGGTGCTTTTGCAAAAAAAAAAAAAAAAAAAAAAAAAAAAAAAAAAAAAAAAAAAAAAAAAAAAAAATCAAAATGTTGAGATAATTTCCAGTGGTTAAGAATTAAGGATTTTATATGTAGGCTTTCTGTACAAATTATGAAATATTTAAATAAATTAATCAGAACTTGTGAAATTCCAGTATACCATCATAGACATATGTTTCTTTCCCTTTCCCTTCAATTTCCTGCCAGATTATACATTGCCTTCTGCTCATATTACTGACAAACTATCATTACTAAACTTTTCCCTTAGTAACCTCATACTTCCCATGAAGTGGGCTACTAAAATGGTATGGACTTAAGCTTGTTATTCACTTGCTCTTCTCCTTCATACTTCCCATGAAGTGGGTTACTAACCATGGTACAGACTCAACCTTGTTATTTACTTGCCCTTCTCCCTCATACTTCCCATGAAGCGGGCTACTAAACATGGTACAGACTCAAGGTTGTTGGACAAGAATGGTATACAATACCGACAAGATGAAAATTGAGACACTTGTGCAACATCTGGGTATCTTTATTGTAGACATTTCACCATCCAGTGGCATTATCAATACAGATTCTAGGACATAATTTGAAGACAGTAGAACTATATACAAAAGATGAGGTAATCAGTCCCTCAGCCTGTGAACACAGTGAACACTAACTCCAAGGCTGAGGGACTGATTACCTCATCTTTTGTATATAGTTCTACTGTCTTCAAATTATGTCCTAGAATCTGTATTGATAAAGCCACTGGGTGGTAAAACGTCTACAATAAAAATACCCAGATGTTGCACATGTGTCTCAGTTTTCACTCAAGCTTGTTAATCACTTGCCCTTCTCCCTTGCACTTCCCATGAAGCAGGCTACCAAACATGGTACAGACTCAACCTTGTTATTCACTTGGCATTCTCCCTGTAGAGCTCACCTGTTTTGCTCTTGATAATTGGACTTTTGTGATAAAGTCATAATTTTGTTGTATAATGTAGTGTAGACAAACCATGGTATGGGTGGGGTTAGAACCCATGGCAAGTAATCTTAAATTTCATTCCCACATCAAACATACAGCATTAGTCACGGCATTATGCCACCCCTCCACCCACACATATACCAAAACACAAGCACATACCATGAAAGATTATAATATATATATTTGCACACTTACTGAGGTTTAAATACTTGGTGCTGCATCCTTTATGCTTAATCATGTCCCTCAGCCATGTAGGAAGACTCTTACACAAATTATTGATGAGTCAAATTCTTGACAGTTTGGGGAGGTATGTTACTCCATGCCTCATGTAAAGCAGCCTCCAGCCACGGAATGGAACTGATATCCTTGCCCAGTAAACTTTGTTTCACTATTGACCAGAGGTTCTCAGTAGGGTTTAGGTCTGGGGAATTGCCTGTCCAGTCATTAAAGAACCTCACTTCACAGTCCTTAAGCCACTGAACTACAGATTTGGCGGTATGACACGGTGCACTATCCTGCATAAAAACCGTAGCCCCACACTTGTCTAACACCTCAGGTAAATTGTCACACAATAACCCTAGATAATTATACTGGTTCATATACTGGTTTTTGGGAAGCACAATGAGTTCACCAACACTCTGAGCATTGAAACACCCCGAAACCATGAGCGAGTCTGGATGTTTGGTGGTCCCACAGTTGTAGCGTTGGTCTAGCGGGTCACTACCTCTGGACCTGTATACATGTACCCCACGTTTACAGGTGCTGGTGAAGATTGCTTCATCACTCCATAGTGCTTCAGGCCACTGTTGAGGATTCCAGTGAAGATATTTCTCTGCATAATCCAGCCTATGTTTCTTCCGTGGCTTGGAGAGGATCAGTTTCTTAACCTGGCGGTGACTACTGTAGCCCAGTTCTGACATACATCTGTTAACAGCTTTTACAGACACCTCTGAGAGAAGATGTGGGTTCTTTTCTTTCAATTCTCTAGCAGATATCTTAGGTGTGCTCTCTAACTGCTTCTTTAAGACAGTTAAGGTACGAACAGATGTCTTCTTCGAGGGGCCAGGCCAAGGTTAAGCAGACAATAACTCGACACCACCACCACCAGCCTTGAAATGCTGCACCCAGTTCCTCACTGAGCACACACACACACCAACATTCTCCACTGTTTCTTTCGTATGGTGCCCAGCTTTGTGAAGCCCTTTGATATGAGCCATAGTTTCAGGTGTTAAAGACTTCCTTTTACCCATAATCAAACATGTATAGCCCCAAAACCAAAGGGAACACTTGACAAAAGATGGGGGTGGATGAGAGACTAAAGTGCAGCACTTCCTCTCACTATGGCAGCCACATGAGCACTGAGGATTAACTGTGGAGTGTGGTGGCAGGCCATGACGTCATGCTAACAACTGCTACCCGGCATAATGCACTGAAGAAAAAAGACCCCCCTCTATGGTAGGCCTTTGATTTTCATCACAGCATTATACCGGGGTGCTGTAATGAGAAACAATTTTGGAACGTGTAATATGTATTCAGCAGGCTGGCCAGCTGGCCACCCAGCCGGGCGGCCGGCCACCCATCTGGCCAGCCTGCTGAATACATATTACACATGTTCCAAAATCATTTCTCATTACTTATGGCTTAGGTTATAGGACATTCTGGCAGGATGACACTACAAGTGGTATCAGAAATGAAAGGATGTTGCATAAATTTTGCATATGGGTTATTATCGAGGTTTTTGATATTTCCTCGACCACTTGTGGCCACATCCATCTCATAGCCACAAAACTCTGGGTCAGCGTCACTTTCCCTTAAAAGGGGAGTGTTAATATGACATGACATCAGTGAATCCCTGGTGTTTACCATGCTATTTGCTCTAGCTGGCATTCAATTGAACTGGTGCTCCCACAAAGTACAAGGTGGTCCCAGACTTTTTTTAATACTGCTCATACTGAGTGTTTAGACCCATTCTATACTGACCAGGCTGAGATCTCAGGCCAATCATGTCAAATTTGGAGATAGGAAAAATAAAATATAGATTTACATTTGGAGTGCAAGCAGTACAAACGTAGATCTACGTTTGGACAGTTTAGGGGTTAATTGTCACAAGTCAGTGATAGTTGAAATTTTTGTCTTACATAAGATATTGAGGGACACAAATGTACCATTCAGGCTGAATATAAGCCATAAGTTCCAGATTGGACTTGCTCAAGTTTAACAATTTTTTTAGCACTTCCTCTTACATATGGACTACAAATAAACCTTGTGTGCTGATTATATATGTTCTACATCATTTCAGGCCTTCTGGGATACAACATGACCATGAATGTAAATGCATCAAGTGAAGGCAAATACAGTGTCTACTATTTTTCTGACTGCCCAAATTCAAGCCTGGATCTTTATCAGTGCTCAAAATGCCTTTATAATATCAGTGATTATTATAGTGAGGTGAGTGCTCTTTAGACAGGATGCCTGTTGGCCCATGTTAGGTAAGTCTTTCTCACACCCATTCATTCTCATTCGTACCATTGTTTGGTTTAGTTTTAAAGCTATGCAGTCTACGAGCTTTAATGATGCCACTCGGCATTTCTGCTCATCTATAGCTCTATTGCCGAGCCAGTGCTTATATATGCTGAAATTGGATAGATTTGAGATATATTTGTAAGGCACATTTATGACCCGTTGTGAGCCCTGTGTGATAGAGGAGGATATAAATACCTTATGCTACTCCATCCCATTAAGATGTAATTTGCTATCCCAGTTAAATTACTTTTGTATATAGTAGGGCCCCACTTACATGGCAGGTTAGGTTCCAGGCTACTGCTGGAAAGCAGACATCGCCAGAAAGGTGAACACCATTTTTTCCACTTATAAACGATATAAATGCCAGATAACAAATGTACAATAACATATATTAAGTAGAACTAGGCATTAAAAAACAGTAAAAAGTAAAATACACACACAGTACACTCATTAATCCCTAAATGGTCCAAACATATATATACGTTCACTCGCGTAGCGCCCCAAATTTTTTTGAGGAAAAATAGTTTTTTAATTGGAAAAAAGAGCATATGGTACCCAGGCATCCCCAATTATTTTAATGTGGTGCACAGTGAGTGCACACAACCATTCTCTCATGTCTAGGCGACTCAGGCTTATCGTGGCAATGTTGAATGAATGACAAAGAAAACGTATATATACGTTTGGGGTTAAGTATCTTAAAATACTATAGTCTTAATGTAGGGGGAGAGGTGAGTAGTATTTATTGTAAGAGGTCAGGTGTGGTAGGGATGACCACCCCACCCACATATAATATACAGTAGACCGTTATATTACATGGTAGTCATGTTCCTGAAAAATCCGTGTTAGGTAAATCGGTGTTAGATAAACTGAAGAATTTATGGGAAAAATAAGGTTATGTTCCTGGGGTTCCCAAAAAAAGCCAAACAACTTTTTTTTTTTTAGATCTCCAGAGCTTACAAAAATAAAAGTGAATATATAATTGTTGTTTATTGCTGTGATGTATTAAGTTGTTTTTACTGTCTAATACTACAAATGCAACAGAAATAATAGTATTTCTTACTTTAAATTGTGGGTGCTGGTGTTTGTTGATGGTAGAGGTTCTGGTTTGTGGATGGTAGAGATTCTGGTACTGAAGTCAATGGTTGTACTGGAGTGTGCATAAATTCTGTAATGGATTTCTGGGCTATTTTACCCTGCAATATGTTATACAGCTGATGATAAGTCATCAGCTGCTCTAGACACTGTTTCAGAGCACTGCTTCTAAAGTTGTCATGGTTCTTTTCAGTGAAAAAGTCTAGCTTTAAGTCAATAAGTCAGTCCAGTAAATCAGTCAGTCAATAAGTCATTCATGTCATTAAGCCATTCAAGTCAGTCAAGTAAGTCAGTCAGTCAATCAAGTAAGTTAGTCAGTCATAAGTCACTGAGATGAATCCTTGATTATTCATTACACAAACTTGTATATTGTTACGTTGGTTTCCCTTATTTCTTGGATGGTAAGGTTCTCACTACATGTTCTAGTGTGGGGTAGCTTTTACTTAATGGCCCTTATTTGTCTAGGGGTAATACTTACATCATGGCTGATCATCTTGAGTGTCTCTGATACCCTTTCACCAGCCCTCTTCACAGGTTATGTAAACTACTACTATAAAAATATAACTGTATTCTCAATAGATATGTACAGAATATACAATCACAGTCTCCATTTTCAAAACAAAGTCTAACACTCCATACCTGTGCTCCACATGTGGTGTGTTGCAACAACTCTTGTCCTTCACTCTTCTGACATAACTCTGGGCTAACCAGTGTTTTGACACACTTTAGTCACCATGGGTATGGTGGCCAAAACTTAAATTATAAAAACTCACCTCTGGAGCACACATAATGCCCCAAAAGATAGAAGAAGGACCCAGAGATCCTGCCAGGTTGAAGGTCAGCCACAGAGAGAGAGAGTCAGAGAGGGAGAGAGAGAGAAGCCTGGCTAAGCTCCTCCCACCAAAACAAAAGACTGTTGCCAAGCACACTTCTCCAGTTACCACAATTCTACCACACCTTAATTTTACTTTTACAAAAAGAAATACAACTTTATAAACTACTTATTTAAATTGTGTTTATGTGTCTATAGTATAACCTATTATATTGAGAAAAATAGGCTTGACCCAGCTGCCTCTCAGTCATAAGGTTGATCAGTCCTTATGACATTTAGAGCAAAGTCCCCATCAATTCAATATAATTAGGTATTCCAGAGTAACTGTTACTTATAAATACATGTTGGGTCCTATAGCCCCATAACACCCCCACCTCCAGACGAAGTCTCACAAAAGCTAGCCGTGTCCCTCAGGATACGGCTAGTAAAAAGTATATTGCTTAAGTCTGAAGGCGGTAAACAAGACTACTAGAAATGCTACATATTTCCTAGCACCATAACTACTCTTCACTTTACTGTTATTTACAACAGATTGCAGAATTTTTTATAAAAGCATTTTAACCATACCCATATACTCAAGGGTGTAACTGTTTACAATTTTAGTGGCTTTTAAACAACACACATTACAATGCAAGAATTGCACATAATGTCCACTGTGAAAGCCCGCACCAACAGGCCTGTGCCTCTGCTGCGGTAATCCAGCAAGCAACTGGTATTCCAGGGTGGCATCTTCCTGATCAGGAGACGAGAGTAGAGCCAAACCCAGAGCAGTCAGGTGTACACCAGGCAGGAAACTTCACAAAACATGTCAAGGTGTCTCTCACTTGGTGGCCGAACCAAACAGTGAGACTTCCAGTCAACACTCACGATCCTTAACATGGTCAGGCACTCAAGCCCATCTTCCGAGGTCCCACTCCACACAGATCCTCCAAACTTATGAAGAGGAGGCTGTCATAGAACATGGAGGGGTCCAGGGGACCACAAAGGCAAACCGTCGGGCCGTTTTGTATATAGAGCACACCAAGACACAACATACCTTCCTGAACGTCTCATGTTACCGAAGGTTGTCAACCACTGCCTCAACTCACATTTACGTACACCCTGACCCTCGTCACACTTTTGGCTCTGACTCGACCCTTCACAGTCAGATGGCTGGTAGAGAGTACTCAGGCTCGCTGAGAGTTCACCACTGCAAAAACAACAAGGTCAGCACAAGACAAACACTATGTACAAAGTTACGCACCATGCTCTACATGAAACATCTAGAGAGAGCATCAGCAACCACATTCTCTGAGCCTTTTATATATTTTGACTTTCAAATTAAAGGCTGTAGGAACAAAGCCCATTCTAAGAGTCTGATTTTAGTCACTATACACAGGAACAGGATGAAGAGATCCTGAGACATGTACAAATGCTGAATAGCCAGCCCCAAAATGAAAATTCTTTCCTGTGGTAAATGTTGACATTTAAATTTAGAAGGTTGCCTCATTGATAGTAAACAGTTCTGCAACCTCTCGCAGTGCAACAACAACACCAAAGACATCTCTTTGCACCCAGGTTGGATACATTAAGTTTACACAGATACCATCACGTTCCATCTCACACACAAATTTTAAACACACAATGAACACAATTTGCATTACACACATTAAAATGGTGCTTGAACACAGACCATGGAAATCACATCTTCCATGTTTTAGCTTATTTAAAATGTTTGCATCTTTTAGTGCATAAGTATCAATCTTTCTAATTCTGTAAACCTTAGTTGTTAAACGTACTCTGTGGTAGTCAGTGTTTATGCCCAGGGTGCCATCTAATTTGGGAACCATGAAGCATGGGAATGCCCACTGACTCTCACTAAGCACTACAAACTGGTGTTGGAAGAATTTCACTTCTTCCTCCATCTCCAATTTTTCATACAGATTTTTCCCACACAAAAATTGTTGAATTGGCTCAGCTTCCTTAACAATTTCCTCGTGGAGTTTCAACTTTTCCCCATTACTGACATCCCAACTTTTATAAAGTTCCAAGGTGGCTGAGCCAACTCTCCAACATTTTTCTCATTAAACCAAGCATGCATTTCCCAAAATCTTTTACACACATGTTATTTCTTAAATACACTTTTGGTATTTCATACAGATTATTGTTTTGCAGCCCCTTTACATTCCATTAAAACATTGGTCTCTCTGAATTTTTGACACAACTTCAAACCCTTTGACCGGTTACTGTGTACACTATACTCATTCCTTTCTTGCTTGGGGGTGTGGGTTTTATATCTAACCCCTGGGAACTTCCCCCACAACATGTTCAGCTCACAGCAACTTGCTATACAGATTTTCACATGAATTGGCTCCAGTATCAGCACTTCCTCTCCAGCCTCCAGAGTATCATGGTCCATATTATGGTCCCACATCATCATCCTGGTCTGGTTGATGGGCACGTTCACTGGTACCATCCACCTCATACGAGCCAAACAGTATCTGAAACTGAGAAAAAGCTCGAGGGTGGGAGCATCACCATCATCCCCAAGCCAATAGCTCAGAGATTCCAGAGTGCTTCCCCACTCAGCAAAATACAAAGAAAGGGATCATCTCATCCCAGTTGTTAGTATTGTCCTATACCATAGGCTTGCATCATTGTCTTGAGGGTTTGATGTAATTTCTCTATTTCCCCTTAGATGGAGAGTGATACACAGTTGAACACTGAGGCTCTACTTTTTAGTCCCTTCAAAACCATTTCTAAAAGCTTAGAGGTAAAGTTTAGATCCTTGATCTGTTTGTGCTGCTTGAAGAAAACCAACATGACAAAAGAACTTCATCAAAACCCTTAAGACTACATGAGCAGTTATCTTATGCAGAGGGACTGCTTCCAGGTACCTGGTAGTGGAGCAAATTATTGTTAGTAAATAATTATTTCCCATTCTGGTCCTTGGGAGTGGGCCAACGACATCCACTACCAGCTTGCTGAAGGTTCACCTGGTGCTGAAATCGGGCTGAAGGGG